GCCCGAGCGCGCAGGCGCACGCGCAGAGGCGCCGAGGCCTGCTGGGTGCCTGGTCTGCGTCGGCCCGCACCACCCCGGGCCGCTGGCCCCGGAGCCCGGGCCCCACGGCCGCGTCCCAAAAAGCCGCCCGTCCAGTGTCTGCCACGTGCCCCGCCCGGGGAACCCGCCCGCCTCGCTGTCCAGACGCGGCCGGCCGGCCGGCGGGCCCGGGAGAACGGAAAACCCCGCCTCGGACGGGACAGCCCCTGCCCCTGAGAACAGGAACCGGCGGAGGAGGGCAGCTCCCGGGAGCGCCGCAGGGTCCCTGGCGATGGGCACCCCTAGCACCGCAGCGGCAAGTCCCTGCGGTGCGACTAAGGTGGCCCAGAGCGGTGGAGGACCGGGAGTCCAGCCTGGACGGCCTCCTTTCTTCTGACGCCTCCCGACGACTGGCTCCAGAGGCCATGCGAGTGCAGGGTCCCTGACCCAACGGAGAAAGCAGCGCCCCCCCCCCATACTTCCATCCAGGCCTTGCCTCTTTGCCGGGGCTGGGAGCTCCTGGCCACAGCCCCCTTACGTGAATGATTGACAACCCCACCAGGGCTTCAGGAGGTCCAGCTTGCCTGTCAGAATCCAAGACTGGCGAGTCCCAAGAGCCCTCAGTTCCCTGCCATCTGTCAACACTGTCCCAAATGTGGTCTTTCCCCTCAGCCACATGGCTCAAAGGGCCAGGACTGGGCCTCATCCCGGTAAATGGTAAACACTTCCTCATCTGCTTGAGCTGCTAACCAGAAGGCTGGCTGTTCAAACCCACCAGCTGTTCTGCAGGAGGAAGGTGAGGGAATCTACTTCCATAGAGATTTACAGCCTTGGTGGCCCAGGCTTGCTGGTCTGATAGAGCCTGGTGGAACCACTGAGACTATGGCCCCTAGCTGCTTGTCAGGTCTGGAATTGAACCCACACCTGTGGCTTCCAGCCAAACAAAAGACAGGCATATGAGGTGAACATTTACCTGAGGTAGATTCACTCCTTGCAGAGAACAATCATGGGAGAAAGAAGGGCTGTTTATGCACAGGGAGACAGCTCAGAGGGCAGGAGTGTATGGAGGGATGGACACAAGGAAGAGGTAACTATGGGGAGGAAGTGGAAGGGGAGCTGTTGTATTGGGGTAAATTATAGTATCATGAAACAACATGGGTGTGAACTGCTGTATGGAAAGTGAATTTGCTCTGTAAACTTTCACCCAAATCACAATATAAATAAATAGATAGATAGATAGATAAGATTTACAGCCTTGGAAACACAGCGGGGGTTTCTAGGACTCAGAATTGACTCGATGGCAGTGGATTTGGTTTGGTTTTTCCCGGTAATGAAGTCAGGACTCCCTCACAATGGAAATATTAATGCATGAGGGAGGGAGTGGGTCAAGAAATAGCACTTTCAAGGCAGACCTCAACGAAGAGGCAGAGAAAGAGAAAAGAGGCATTTTGGGGTGGAGAGGCAAGGCAAGGCAGGCAGCAAGGGGACCCCAGCCAACTGCCTCAAATGGGGTGTTGTTAACACAACAGAAATCGGTTCTCCCACAGTTCTGGGGGCCAGACGTCCCCTGCATCTCCCGGCTTCTGGTGATGCCAGCAGTCCTTGCCAGTCTCCCCTATGTGTGTCTGTGTCTGCTGTGACTTCATATAAGGACATGGTCATAGAGGATGGAGGGCTCACCTCATACCAGTACGACTTCATCTGAACTAATTTTGTCTGCAAAGACCCTGTTTCCAAGCAAGGTTACGGGCCCAGGTACAGGAGTTAGGACATGATCCAACCACAGTAGCGCCTCTGGAAAGCAGCGAGGAGTCGCTTAGTGCATGTTGCTCCGGGCCTCCTTCCGAGCAGCCTGCGCCCAGAGAGTGCAGACTCTTTGAAGAATGGTCCATTGCCTCGTCAGCATCCAGACACTTGTCCTTGTTCCAATGTCATGCCCTCTTCCCTGCGTCTCCTCGTAACATCAGCAAGCCTGGGAGTGCACTCCCTGTACCCCTCCCCACTGCCCTAGGCCCGCCCACTCTTCTCTACCCCACTTCTCTGAAGCTCAGCCTCCCTGGCCCACTCTGCCCCCAGTCCCCGTGTCCAGCTCCTACCTTCTGCTGTGTGAGAGGGTCCCTCCCACGCTCAAGGTCATCACCGCCTCCCCCCAGCCATACCCATCACACTTGGCCACTCTGCAGTGAAGAGTCTGCCTCCATGTTTGGGCAT